GGCCAGCTGGACTATCTCAGGTAAGAGACCTGTCTGCTTGGTGCCTCGGCTTCCATAGAGGACCCCTTCACTGAGATGTTGGGAAGACTACATGGATTCATTCATATAAAGTTGTTAGAATGGTGTTTGGCATTTGGCATGTGCTCAATAAGTGTTAGTTACCAATACGCCACACTGCCTATCCTAAAGGTTTGTTATGAGAATTGACTGACAACACATATGTAAGGCACCTAATAAAAGAAATCACTCAATCAAAGGTAGTTATTATTATCATACTTATAAACAGTAGTTAATAAGATATTTTGTTAAATATTTAAGAACTTAAGCTTCATAAAAGGACAAATAAAACCATGTCGACTATTAAGGCTGACTTGAGAGTCACAATTCTCCAAAGTCTTAATTGTACTTCCAGTGACAGTTTTTTCTTTGTTTCTGAAACTCTTAGGAAGATATTTAACAAGGTTGGATTTTTCCTTATTACGCTGAAAAGAAGAGCAGGAGTTCTGAATCTCATATATATTTTTCTACATAAAGTAAAAAAAAAGTATTTATAATACCTTTTTCTTGTTTATTATTCAATAGACCTTATGTCAAAATTACATCTTTTTCAGTATTGGAAAAAGACAATTGGAAGGGAAAATGAACTCTTCAAAATCTTATTGAAATAATGATTTCTCCCATTAATACCAGGAATTGGAATGATATTCCTGCTCTGTTCTCCCAATTCTCACTCATCTACTTTTCATACTCTACCTGATCTGAGCTGATACTGATGCTCTCCTTAAGGATGATCCAGATGACACTCTCATGAAGAGGAGGATGAGTCAGAGAGCCAAAGTAGGTCCAGTAATCCAGGGATGAAGGAAGGAGAACAGAGGGGTCAAAATTTGTGAAAGGGGCACTTTTGCCCTGAAAGAAAAAGAAAAGTAATATATTATTATACCATGATATCAAATACTTATACCACATACATGTGTGACATATATGTCATATTATTTGGTGTATGTGCATATATATATATATATATATGTATGTATGTATAGATCTTAGCTGAGAATTTAATCTTTTCTACTATATAGTATTTTATGTCTGGTATGTTTGTGGATATAAACAAAAGTAATAGAAGACTGAAAATATGCTACATTGAAATTTTGACTAAGCAATCTTCCTCCTTCTTCATTTGGTTGAGGATAAGCAAAGGTTCAAAATTTTTTTATAATCTATATTCTTTAAAATATGTTTAATTTTCAATATAAAGCATCTATTGCTTCTCTAGGAATGATACCAGATACTGTTCTGCTGGGAAGATATTATTGACATGTGTATTGGTGTGTTTTAGCTTTATTCTATTTATTCCTATTTTCTTTTCTGATTGGTTATTATTGGTGTATAGAAAAGGAACTGATATTTATAGATAATATTTTATGTCATCAACTTTACTAGACTTGCATATTGATTCTGCTTATTAGCTGTTAGTTTTGAGTTTTCCAGGTAGATATCAATGATCCTCTGCACTTGATGACAGTTTTGTCTTTACTTTCTAATGTTTACCCTAATAAGTACTCTTATTTCTTTATTTTATTTTATTATTATTTCTTTTCCATAATTATTTATATTTTATTACATTGATTGGGACATTCATTGCAATGTTCAGCTGTGGTGTTCATAGTTGACACCCTAGCCTTGTTTTTGATTGAAATGAGAATGCTTAAAATATTTCACTACTAAATTTGATGTTTGATACAAGTTTCTATGTGATATTCTTTCTTAAATTAAATAAGTTTTCAGAGAATTTTCTTTCTTTTTTCTCTTTCTTTCTTCTCTTTCTTTTTTTGTCCTCAGGAATTGGCATTGAGTTTTCATCAAATGCTTTTTAAGACTCTAACAAGTTTATAATATAGTTTTTCATCTTTAGTTTGTTAATGTAATGAATTCTATTAGGAGATGATCTAATATAGAACCATCCTTGCATTCCTGGGATTAAACTCTACTAGTTTGGAAGTGTTACTCTTTTTATACTGTTGAATATGATTTGCTGTAATCAATTTTAATATATCTTTTATTTATATTCCTAAGAAAGATTTGCCTATGATTTCCTTTTTGAGGTATTCTTACCCAGTTTTGGTATTAGGTTTCATTAAATTAAATTGATATAAAGTTTTCTGTCCCTCATCTGGGCAGTTTAGTTAACAATGGCAAGATTATTTCTCGTAAGTTGTGTAACACTTTCCCATAACATGTTCCAGGCTTAGAGTTTCCTTTTACTATGTACATTTTTTTTGTTGGCTATTTTTAAAAGTTCTTCTCAGATTTTTGGCCTATTTAGGTTTTCAACACATTTTAAGTCAGTTTCTCTACATTTTCCTAGAAATTCACCCATTTACTCTAAATTTTCAAATTTACTGGTATGGTATACAGCTGACCTTTGGACAATGTGGGGATTAGGAGTGCTGACCCCCATGCAGTCTAAAATACACCTATAACTTCAGCCCTTTGTAACCACGGTTGTGCATGAGCAGATTCAGTTAACTGCCCATTGAGTAGTGCTGTAGTGTGTGTTTATTGAAAAAAGTCCATATATAAGTGGACCTTCAAAGTTCAAATCCATGTTGTTCAAGGGTCAACTGTACAAACTTTTCTCTTTTAAACCTTTTTATCACATCTTTAATTATGATCCATTTCCTTATTTCTAGTAGTTTTTTTGTAGCATACCTTTTCTTCATCATCAAACTTGCCAAAAGTGTGCTTTTTTGTTGTTTTTCCAAAAAAATCAACTTTTTATTTTCATAATAAAAATTTACCTTATATTTCATTTTCTTTCTTATTTGATTAATTTTTGCTTCATCTTCATTATTTCCTTCTGTTTTCTTTTCATATATCGTTTTTTATATTCCTGACTTGAGTGCTTATTTATCTTCAGACTTTCTCACTTTATAATATACTCATTTAAAGATTAGTGCTTTCTAGAATCATCATGAACTAGATTCATTTTATGTAAAAATATGACAGTTCTCCATACTGCTAAAGAAAGTGATAAATCTCTAACATATGATTTAACTATTTACTATTAAAACAGGGAAGCTAAGGTTAAATATATTAGAAAATCGATTTTTTAGCTGACAGTGAAATCATGGTTATGAGATATTGCATTTTAATGAGATCTCAAAAGAATATCCTTAACTTCTGCATTGTTATCTTGCTAAAGAAATAAAGATATCTTTTCATGAAATGGGAAAAAAATCACATTTTGTTTGGATATAGTTTTTAAAACAAATTTGAGCAGCTATAAAACCTGTTCTATAGGCTTCGTCCTGCTGAAATAGATAAGCAATAACTATGAAAAACAAAAAACAAAATAAAAGAACTCCCTGAGTCAGAGATCTTCTCAGAAGCGAGGCGCATCTTAGTAGTACCTTGATTTTCAGATTGGTGGCCCTTGCTTTGGCTTCCTACTCCCCATATCAGATATACAATTAAATCATTTCCTAATTCTATGGATTCCTGTTTTCTGATTTAAATTAATTTAATTAGTATGTTTACCTTAGTTTTAACTGATTTTAGGGATCCAATATTTTCTGCAGGTTTGGGTTGGCTGGACCAACCTGGAAATTAAAAAAAAAATAAAGTGTGAGATAAAAATTATTATTAAGTCCTGTTTAGTTAATTTTTTTTCAATCAAAAACAGTAGCTGGAGAAAAGTAAGGTATTTTTGCTTTAGGGGAGGAAATTTTGCTATAAGTTTGTTTTTGTGGGCCCTTGTACTCTGTAAATGATTCATAATGTGTAGCCACAGATAAAGTGGCAAATAAAAATCTTGTTTTTAATTTAATATGGGTAAGATGTTCAAAGATATGCAAGTCGAAATCCAGAAATTCAGCAAAACTGTGATACAGAAACAAACCTCTTAACTTTTGGTCAAATCTATTAATTATAATTGGTGCAGTGAATGGCATGTTATAAATAAACAACAAAGGTTAACTAGAATTACTGTAATTCCAAAATTTAGTCACCCAAATATACCCAATTTAGTAGTAACTTCCCTTTAGAACTTTTAGGGACTCTCCTGTAGAGGAACCGAACAAACCTGCCATTTTAAATATCAGTTAAACTTTCTTTATGGGACAAAAATTCTCTTAATTTTTTTTCCTGATAAAATGTTAAATCAATAAACTGACTCTATGATGTAGGAAGAAAGGCAATGTGGAAGAGCTGAAAAATAAAAATTCATTCCATCTTTAATACCTTTCCATTTTGTCTCTGCCTGAAACTTATTTCTCTCTTCAAGAGGGAAAAGCCAAAAAACCCCAATAAAAGTCCACAGTCTACTAGGGAACTGTGTCACGTGTGGTCAATCATTAGTAAAGAACTTTCCAGAAAAAGAGAAAAGACTCAAACATTTTTTTGCCTTATTTCATCCTATTTTGAGGTCTGATTGGTAAAAAAATAATTTTAGTAGAGCTCTGTAACTCTCTGTAACTCACCTTCATCAAAACACCAATAATTGCCAAACCATCAGCCTGTGAGGCAGCTTCAGCAAAGCTGGAGTACTTAGCAGAGTTCCAGTGAACTATATGAAACTGGAAACGATAATGTGGTTAAGCAGTTATTTATAACCATTGTGAAGGTAAAAATTAAGTCATACATTAATTTGTTAATATATGAAGATGTACTTTGGGTTAGAAAGATAAAACTATGTGAACTTTTACCTTGGGCGTGAGAAGGGCTATGTTTTCATTCTTAAGAAGGGTTAACTGTGTGTTGAGTAGAGTGGGTAAGTGGCAGATTTTGGAACCACTAAGAAATTTCTTTTCGCAGAATATCTTAACTGTTCAGTATTACTTCTTTTTTAAAAACAAATCTCTCTTTGGTGTGAGATCAGGAATTCTTTTTTTTATTATTATTTTTTATTGAAGTATAGCCAGTTACAACATGTCAATTTCTGGCGTACAGCATAAGTTTCAGTCATACATATACATACATATATTTATTTTCATATTCTTTTTCATTAAAGGTATTGAATATAGTTCCCTGTTGCTCTACAGAAGAAAACTAGGTCAGGAATTCTGACTAACCAGTTTTGAGACAAAAATTGAAATAACTTTCTCTCACTTGAGATACTTCTTATTAACTTAATGAAAAGGGGGTCCTGAAGTATCTGGGAATCATGACCGAAAAATTCTCTTTTGCTGGCAAGGGGAAGTAATCAGCTTTTTAAATTTTATTTATTTATTTAAAGGCAGTACTGGGGATTGAACCTTCCCCATAGTTCTCTCATGGGAGGATTTTGACTTGAATTAGGGCTAAACTCAGATGCCATTCTTGAAAGAATCCTTTTCTGACCATCCAATGGAAAGTGATCATCTGGTCACTCATATCCTTCTAAATCAAATCAATTCTCTCCATGCCACGAATCTCTCTCATTCTCCCCACCTCTCCCTCCCTCCTGCTCTCCCTTCCTTTCTCCCTCCCACCCTCTGTCATGTGTTGAACTTTGTGGCTAAGTGCCTGTCATTTCAAGCCTGGATTAATTTTATTTTTCTCAAATTAGAGGAGAGAATCACCAATTTAGTTTTCTTAGATACAACCAAATCCTCCCCCAAAGATCTACTAATACTAATTTAGGCTTTCAGTCCAGTTGACTTTAGTCTGCCTACAATTTTATGAAGGAGAAATAGGAAAAGGCATTTAATGGATTTCTGAACATTGAAAGGTATTAGTCTAGCTTTACAATGTAACATAAAGTAAGTTATATTTGTATACTATTCCTATGTCCTCTATTAAAATGAAAAGTGCACCTACCCTGTATTTAACAATCCCTCTAATGAAAATCTGCCCTACATAATTGCTTTCACTAGTGCATAAGATGTATGGACAGATGCATTTATTGCAAAATTTTTTGGTAAAAGCAAAAGAAAAAAACTCCAACAGAACAAAAAGCAAAAGGCATTGTAATTGTCCATATGTAGGGGTCAGTTAATAAATTCTGATATATGCATACACTGAAATACTGTACAGATATTAGAAAAAGAGGTGGAATTACACCGAGTTGGAAAAATGATCTTGATAAATTGGTAAGTGGGGAAAAAAAGCATGTTTCAAAACTATATATATTACAAATTCATTTTATAAAAGTAAAATAAAAAAGCCAACCTATCTATGCTGTTACAAATGTAGTACATATTCCTATATATAAAGAGCAGAAGTTCTTCTTTTCAACCAGACCCTCTGTTAACAACCTGATGCAAATGTTCTTGATTTTTCCACGGATACACAGACAAAATGCCTTGAACTAGATCACGAACTTCCATGTGGGCAAGAGGCCAGAGGGTAGCCCGATGTCACAGTAACAGTTTTTGAGGCATTCTAAAATGAGAGGATTCTGGGGCTCAGGAGTTCAGCTCCAAGTTCAGCTGCCTCTTTCACACCAAAAATTCTCCTCTATTGCCAAACATGGTGTGTCTGCCTTTGATTTTAATGGAGCCTGGGAGTCCCTTACGTGGACTAGAATGCTCATTCCTTTGGAGCCACTATAAGGGTGTCTTATGTTGTAAGGCAGCTGCTTCTGGGAATACTCCCAGTGTAGTTATCTCTCACTCACTGAGTTACATTACCTCTGCAGAATATTTGACTCCATCCACTAAGTGCTCAGAACCATAGTCATCTGTGATGCCCCAGTGAAAATGGAACTGACGAAGCCTATAGCTTCCAGAGAGAGGACCACCTTTCAGAACTAAAAGAAAAAGGAAACAATGTTAGTATGTTAGTGCTACAATCATAAATTCCAGTCTACCTTCTCATGTAATATAAATTAACATTAAATTGGGTTGAGGAGAAATGAAAACAAACACTAGCACCAGAATTTCCATCTTGGTTTTTTTTTTCCCGCACATCCACATTGATGACATTCATATGTATTGTGCACCCTAAGATAGTGCATGAGTTATATACAATTCTCAGTGCATGAACTGTAGTTTTACCTTTTCCTGCCTTCAGTAGAACATACTGGGAGATGAGTGAATTATATGATTACAGGGTTTTCCTTGAATCTGCTTTAATCTGCAAGTCCATTCATTTATTCTTTCAACAAAGACAGTAATGGGAAGTATGCATCAAGATCTTCAGTGATTTAGTTTTTGGTAACAAATTACTCATCACATACCTTGTAACTGATCAAGACACTAGAGGGTATCTTGACAGCTTTGTAGAGAACCCCTAGCCAGGGACTAAAAGAAAGTGTCAGTGGGGCAGTAGGATCACTTAAAAAATTTTAACAATGAACCATGTTTCTTTAGAGAGTCTACTCAATCATACGATTAATAAAACACATAATATCAGATCTAATCCAATATTAACAATGGACATAGCCTGAGGGTGTCTAAAATTTAGGCTCAGAACCTTGTAGGAAAGTGCTAAAGCAAGTTTTGCCTTTTGTCAGTAGAGTTGTTTTGTGAAATTGTCAGTTAATAAATTATTCAGTAAACATTTTTGAAAGTCTTACTGTGTAGCAGGAAATGTACTAGACTCTGGGGTATGAAGATAATTCAGTCATTACGGTCTAGCAGGGAGAGGGGAAGATAGGCAAGTATACTTATGCACAAAGTTGTTCCATGCGAGGTGCATGGGGGAGGGTATAGCTCAGGGTTAGCGTGAATGCTTAGCATGCATGAGGTTCTGAGTTCAATCTCCAGTACCTTCATTAAAAAGTAAATAAATAAACCTAATTACCAGTCCCCTCTCCCCCCAAAAAAGATGCATGCAAGGCCATTTTCTTACTGGTACCCAGGCACTTCTCAGTTATAGAGCCATTTTTTCCGGTCACAAAAGATAAATATATTCTTCACCTCTGTTTTTCTTCCCTACTGTGCTCCTCCATCCTTATCTCAATTAGAAAATATTTGCATTTTCAGTTTTTATATTCATGATGGTTCACAGACCTTTTTGAAAAAAAATACTGTTCATTCAGAGGATGTGAAGTGAGCATGAAGACATTGGAAATTGGAAGAGTTGGGACACTGTCACTGAGAAGAAAGACTGAGTTGGGAGCCCCCCAAATCATCTTTACCATTTAGAAATTTTCTAAAAGTTCAAGATGCCTCACCAGATTACAGCGATGTTATACATGTGCACAAGACTAAGGATGGGCATTGTGTTTAAGAAACACTCTTAAAGACCTGTTGTTTTAATTTCCCCAGGAAAGTCAAAGAAAAAATCAGAAGAGTCTTTGGCTCACCTGATCTGTTATCATTGTCCTCAAAGTTTACATGGAAGGAATGTCCCACGTTGACGATTTCCTTGGCTGTGGCTGGATTGTAGGAGACACTGATAGGTTTGAGTGAGGTGTCATGTTTGGTTTCACTGGTTTTAATGTTGATAGGAGATTGGTTATTACTATTTGCAATGGGGTACAACTTGCCCCACTGTTCAGGACCTACAAGGACAAACATATGCTTACAGTCAAAACCTGATCAAATGCTCAATTCCAAGTTTTAGGAGTATAACTTTGTTTATTAGATTAGGATTTATTCAGGTATCTTAAATGATATTCTGTTTAACTTAACAGAAATTTAATGTTTCAGAATGTCCCTTTTCCATTTATTTATTTTCTAATTGAAATTTAGTTAATTTACAATGTTGTGTTAGTGTCTGGTGTACAGCATACTGATTCAGTTTTACTTATATATATTCTTTTTCATTATAGGTTATTACAGGTCCATCCATGTTGCTGCAAATGGCATTATTTTATTATTTTTTATGGCTGAGTAGTATTCCATTGTATACCACAACTTCTTTGTCAATGGACATTTTGGATTGGGTTATTTGTTTTTTTGTTATGGATTTGTATGAACTGTTTATATATTCTGGAAATTAAGCCCTTGTCAGTTGCATCATTTGCACATATTTTCTCCCAGTCTGTAGGTTGTCTTTTCATTTTGTTGATGGTTTCCTTTGCTGTGAAAAAGCTTATAAGTTTGATTTGGTCCCATTTGCTTATTTTTGCTTTTATTCCTATTGCCTTCAGAGAATGACCTAGGATAACATTGCTATGATTAATGTCAGAGGATGTTTTGCCTATGCTTTCTTCTAGGAGATTTGTGCTGTCCTGTCTTACGTTTAAGTCTTTAGGTCATTCTGAGTTTATTTTTGTGTATGGTGTGAGGCAGTGCTCTAACTTCATTTATTTACATGCGGCTGTCCGCTTGCCAACACCACTTGCCAAATAGACTGTCTTTTCTCTATTGTAAGAATGCCCCTTATCTATGCTATACTGTAAAATAGTCTATTTGCCAACACAAGTAAAGTATTAATAGTCTATGGGATCAGATTATCCATATTTTACTGTTAGCAATAGATTTCTAATATAAATGTATGGAGAGAGGGAGAGACTGAAAGAGAGAGAGAGAGAAAACATTTTGTAGACAACCATGACTCAAAGGACAACTGCTAATAATACATGCAAAGCTTTTATAATTCAAAGTCAGTCAATTCAAACCATTAATCTATGACTGCACAGTTATTTTAAGTGCTCAACACCTCTTTAATTGGAAAAGAGACATGAACAGAAGAACTTACCATTGTCGCCATCATATCCCCAGTCAGGACTTGACATGATCTTCTGCTCAGTTTTCTTTTTTCTGAAAACAGAGATAACACCTGACTGCAGTTGAACCCACAGTAGACAACGGAAACCATCCCTTGGGGCTTTTTATATGGAAATGTCCCTGCCCTTAATAGGCCTATTTCATCATCTCTACCTATCAGGAAATACATACATATAAAACAAATGATGTTGTAAAAAAAGCCCACAAGGGTGAGGCCAATTCCAATTGTTTTATTTTCTCATACTGTAAAAGAGAAGTATCAAAATCCTAGGTTTTATAAAACCAAGCCCTGTTTGTCTTATATTCCTAGCAGATGTGACTGAATATTATCATATAAGATTCTTTGGATTTCCTAATTAAAAATTGAGATTTCTAATTTTACCCTTGCTGGATATTTAAGTGATACTGGCAATATAATTTAGTAAGAAGAATAATTTGCATGTTTACAGGCTGATTGGCACTGGTATCATGATGCTAATTTAAAATCAGATAACAGAATCATTAATCATTTGTAATATGTATTATTCGTAACAGTACATTTCAAAGACACACAAGATGAGAATAAAGTCATTCATCTTAGAGCAATATTGGAATTCATAAATGGAGAAGATTTTATTAATATTGAAATTAAATATGGCCCAATGTAGCTTTTACCCATCAAATGCAGGCCTCTTGGAATAGAAGCCTTTCTTTTGTATAGTTCTGTACAATTTATGAAGTAATGTAATATTATTTTATTTTACCACCACCACATGCACACAAATTCTGTACAGTGAGAATTATTGTTTTGCAGTTAAGAGATGTTGAGGGGCTTCACCACAATTAGCAAGAAGCCAAGAAGCCAAAACTTCAGCCTCCAAGTCTAGCTGTTTTCTTCACCACATCTCTGCTGAATGCCACACTGGGTGAGCTATGAGGTGGGTGACCCCTCAGTTTTCCTTCTCTGCCCACAATTCTCTTAAGCCCAACTGAAGCCTGGACCAAGGTGAGACTTGCCACCTGCTGAGTGATGAGAAGATCCACAGGACTTTTCAAGGAAGTGAAGGAAACTGATTAGCATGTGTCAGATTGGCTAGGTCCACATTTCCAAGGCTCTAAATATGCTCAGAGGAAATCCAATCTGAAAAATTAAGCGTCCATGCCCTGAGAGTCATACCTCCTTTTCCCCGGGACTGTCTGAGCTGCCTGGGCTTTCCAAAAGAAGAGGATCCGACACAATTTTTAGCCAGGCTGACTAGAGGCACATCGTTTGTCCCTTTTGGCTAACGATAGCCAGCTGGCTCAGATGCAGAGTGGGAAGTGACCCAAGCTTCCATCCACGCTTTAGTTGGCAGAAGGAACTAAACAAGAACTTTTTTTTAAAGGTACCCTATATTGAGCGTCCAATGTGTCTCAGATGTTATGCTAACAAGTTCATATGCATTAATTCATTTAATTCTTACAATAACCAAATTAAACATTAAAATTTGTATTCTGTGTAAGAAGAAATTGAAGACAACTGCTCAGGGTTATATAAAGCTTATAAGCGGCTGCTTACATCTTGTAAGCTTAGGGTTTAAGCCTAGATCTGCCTAACCCCAAAGCTTACACTCTTTCTTAACCTTCAACTGTCAACAAATGCCCATCGACCTCCACTTGATGTGGAGAATTGGATTGGTTGATCTGGTCTGATCTGGCTCAAGATGACCAATCGTCAGACCTGATCCTTGGGATACTTCATTCCAGACTTAGAGACTCAGGTTGCCCAGAAGCCCATGCCGTGAAAAAAGCTGTCTATTCTTTGCCAGATAAGTTGCTTCCTAATTGACACCCTGTTAACAGAAACTTTAAATTGAACTACTGTATTTAACAATCTATTTGAAAGAAAAAGACAACTCCCTTTTCATTGCATGATTACATGATAATTCATCACATGAAGGTTTTAACTTTATATGGGATGGTAATTTATTTAAAGTTTTAGGCACAAAATTACCTTGAACCCGAACTATTATGACCCTCTGTTCCACTATGTACCCAGGGTGTGTTCGTGTACTCCCACGAGTAGAAAACTATATAGAGAAAGGATGTAAAATTTAATGAGCGCTTACAGTTTCATAAGTCCTAACACTCCTCTCATTTACCTTTAGCCTTTTTTTTCTGCTCACAAACTTGGCCTCTTTCAACTTAATATCTATGCTAAATCCAAGATGTCTCATTTTGTGTTCACTTCCCTTTCACATGGAGCCTCTGTGTAGTGACCTCTTCTTATAATCTCTGGGCTTTTGCATACCAAGGAGACCAGTTTACACAATCTTTACTCTCTTAATCTAACAGTTTATTCCCTAAAACTGTATCTAAGCACATACTGACAAAGACATTCCCTCCGCTGTTAGAATGTTCCAAATAAATCCATATGTACTTGAAACTGAATCAGGAGCAGCTAGGCTGATGGAAAAACTTCTTTTAAAAAAAGCCATGCAAAAGTACATAAGTAATTTTGATAGAGAATTGGTTAATTGGTAGCACAGAGAGGTATCAAGTAGTATCAATTATATGTCAATAAAACAGAAAAAAAAACAGAAACAAAAAATGTAGGACTTTAAATAGAGATTTTTAAATGTTGAAAGAATAATGTACAGAGTGTTTAATTTTAATAATTACATTGGTTTAATTTGTAAATATGATGAAAATGTATTAATGGACTGGGGGGAGGGAGAAAGATACCTTCTATTATTTTATGGAATGGAATTTTAGAGGTCAAATATTACTGAAAAATTTTGAAAGATAAAATATTGATATTATCTTAAGGGGATCCACCCTAAACCTTATGTCATAATTTTATCTCTTGACCTTCCTTTTCAATAAATAAAATTCTTGCAACAAACAAACAAACAACAGTATGAAGAGTGCTAAAAGATTTACGAATATTATTAACAAGACTATCACCGTGTCCTCATGCTAGGGGTGTTGGTGTAGGCTAGAAAAGACTGTCATTCATTGAATAATTACCATCTGTTGGGCCTTTGGAAATAATGATCTAATTCAATTCTCAGGGTAGACGTAGGGGTTCGGTTAGTCTTACCCCACTATTAAAAGGAATAACTGAGACTCAGAAAATTCAAGGAGAAAAACCAGGATCTGAATCCTCTTCTGGTTACTTTCAAACCCATGAGGGCATCTTCTTCTCTATTCTATCACACCACAGTTTTTAAAACATTTGCTTTAAAGTTAGTTAATAGCTTATTACATTTATTTATTGAGTACTGTCAATTAACTTTACTGAAGATTTTTTCATGCCCTAAAATGCTTTCCAAAAAAGCAGAGACATTTTCTCAGTGTTTTACAAAATTTAAAAATTATGTTTAGCCAATTTTAAATTCTATTTAAAAGGCTTAGCATTTCTTATTTGATTTTTTTCTCCTAGTCTCTTAAATGAACATTTTCCTCTGATTTCTACTTTAATAATTTAAAATTGAAAACATGAACTCTTACAAAGGCATGTAAATTCTGATGAGTTTCAAATTTACATTTATAATATTAAAAAATAGCTAATTGGTATAGTAGGAACAAAGACTGTGAAAGAGTGCTGGTGTCTAGTTAGAGCAGAGATCTGCGAAACACCCCTGAGAAGAAATTCCAACAGGCACTGGCAGTTACATAATGCTTCGACTTCCTCAAGGATAACTGGCTTCTCTGGGATATTTTCCCTAAAATAAGGAAATGCACGTAGTGAAAATCAAGTGTCATGTTTAACAATTAAACTTGGCATAACTCTCACATTGCTCCCTAACTTCTCTGCCTCTCCAGAATTGGTATTGCTTAAGGTGGCTGGATAAGTCTTATTTCCAGTGGAGCAATGGATCATGGAAAATGTTAATATTACCCTGGACATTCCTACAGTAAGACAATTGGAAATTCTGATGAATCAGTTTAAGTAGCATGATGATTTGTCTGGATTTCCTCCAAATTGGTCTTTCTCTTCACTTACAACAAGATGGCTGACCAACGTTACCCTTTCTTGACGATGTCTTCGTCTCCATCCATCCCAAGCTTGTTCCCATTTTAGAACCTTTGCACTTTCTGTCTCCTCTGTCCAGATTGCTCTGTATCCAGATCTTCGCACAGGCTCAAGTATCACCTTGGAGACAACCTTCCTGACCTCCAAATTTAACATATCCTCCTCTTCTCAGTCACTCTATTAATTCATTCTGTCTTATTTCTTTCGTAGCATTTTTTTTGTTGCATCCTGAATTTATTCTTTTTCACAGTCAGAAATTCACTTAATTGCTTAATATCAATAACCATCTCTATAATGACACTTCCAAAATGATGAATCATTTTATTACTTTTTTTAATCATTTTGTTCACTTCAGTCACAACATGCATGGAAAACAGTGGTGTTCAATAAATATTTTAGTGAGAACAATTAAGTGGTCATTCTTAACTTCAATGATTGTATTTTGGTAAAGACTCAGGAGAGCAGAACCCTCATCGGGGGCTGCACCCACCCAATCTCATGGGTCTGAACTCAGGGGTGTGTGAATGAGCTTTGCTGGAGCTGAACTCATGTTCGTATTTGGAACTAAGGAGAAGGAGCCTTTCCCCTCTCAGTTCTATTAATGGGTGGAATGAAGTGGCCCGTCTGTGTCTGTCAGTCACTGCTGGGAGAGTGAGAATGCTGGTCTTTATTAAGTGTCAAATTTCTCGACACTTTGTGTCAAAATTTAACTCTTGAAATGTGCTTTGAACTTTTGACATACAAATTTCAAAAACCCGTAACTTATATGGATTTTATTACTGTCATGAAAGAAAAACTTTCAACCTTCTATTTCCTGCTTTGGAATATTTTACTTTTATTTTTGAAGGCAATTTAAAAATTCACTAATGAGTATTTTGATTAACTAAGTAAGTTTGCATAGTAACTATTTTAATCCACAGCAAAGAGGCATTTAGTGTCTTACAATTTCATGCTTCCGAAAACATTAAATTTTAAACATATCTAGCTGATTGTCATATGTATTGAAATTGCTGGTTGGAAAGATTTATGTACTTTACACACTGAAAGCATAGGCTTGTGCAATTTTAAG